GTGGATCGCGTGCGATGTTCTCTGCTGCACAGCTAGTATCTGGAGTGTGATGGCCATCGCGCTGGACCGCTATTGGTCCATCACGCGCCACCTGGCGTACACGCGGGGCACGCGTCGGCGCGTCTCCAACTTCATGATCGCGCTGACGTGGGCGCTGTCCGCGGCCATCTCGCTGGCGCCGCTGCTCTTTGGCTGGGGGGAGATCTACTCGGAGCGCCGGGAGGCCTGCCAGGTGAGCCGTGCGCCCGCCTACGCCGTGGTCTCCACGCTGAGCGCCTTCTACCTGCCACTGGGCGTGGTGCTGTTCGTGTACTGCAAGATCTACAGGGCGGCCCGGCTGCGGCTGGGCTTTCGGAGGAGCAACAGCGTGCATCCTGCGCCGAAGGCTGTGCAGGTGCGTGTCAGACCCTCAAACCTGTCATCTCTGTCCTGGCTTTATCCCCAGCACCCCTCCCCTCAGGCGTGTAGAAAGTGGGACTTTTAAGTTTTTTGTGGTTTTTTTTGGGGGGGGGGCAGGGCAGGGAGGGTGTTGGGTGAAAGACCAAAAGAAAGCATCAGACTGTCTTTGCTGGGACACGCTCAGCATCCCAGAGCGGATAATGACTTTACCACCTTGGAGGGATGACTTCCTTGCATATAAAATGAGGGTCTGGACCACTTAATTCTACAGCGTCCCATTTGGCTCTAAAATTTAGAGCATCTGAGGAAGTCAGTGCCTGGGCTACACCGGGTCACCTGGCAGCATCCTGCCCTTAGAGGGGCTGTCCAAGCAGGAGGGCCGGGGCGGGGGGCGGGGGGGAGTGACTGGGCAGGAAGATGGCCATACAGCAGGCCACCCCATTAGTATTTCAACTCAGTCCATTTCTTCTTTGCAAATTAAAGCAACTAATTTTGCAAACTGTGGTTTCTCCCTGTTTCCTGAGTGTGGCATCCTGCTGCAAGATTAAAGCTGTTTCCACACCTGCCCCAGGGCCGGCTTGTGATCCGACTCCACTGCCCCACTCGGCCTGGGGCCTCATGACCCCTCGGGCCCTGTGTGCAGCTCAGGGCCACTCGTTCGCCTCCTGGCAAAGCCGCAGGAGGAAGTCAAAGGCAGGCAGCCCGCCAGCCCCCTGCAAGTGGCTTTAATGTGTGACATGGTGACAGCACCAGGAGGGCTCTTTTCTCGTTTTCATTGTTAAATCTTAATAATCTGACTCTGTGGTTCAAAATTTGGGAACTATCTGAGGACCAAATCCAGGGGCTGTGGACTGCTCTCCCCCCACCCCAACTCAGTGCCAAAGATGATCCTTCGAACCTAATTAACATATACAAGTGCAAAGCCCCATTTTCTACGGTTGGCTCTGGGAGAACAGGTACATTCATTAAGCAGCCTGGGCACGTCTGGGCTGGTGGGAGGGATGAGGGAATGATGAAGATGGCGTCTTTGTCATGAGGAGTCTGTCTAGTGCAGCAGTGAGGCACCTACCGTGAGTTCTGGCAGGAGCTGATTCCAACCATCATCAGTCGGGCAAGCCTGGAGGGACCAGCGGTGTAGGTTAGGGAGGAAGGAGAGAGCTACACTCGAGGGGAAAGAAGGAAAAGGTCAGAAGCTACCTGTGCTTTTATCCAGAACAATGTTTTCAAACGAGGACGATTTTGCACACACACACACACACACACACACACACA